TGGAGAGTAGGGAGGGGTGTACCAATGATTCGCTCAGCAGTCCGGACTATCCGACATCTTGCATGTTCATATTGATTTCACAGGTCAGGTGTTGTATAGAGCACCCTATGTTTAAAAATGATGTGTGATCACTGCAAAAGCAGCTGCATTAGACCACACGTCTTTGTTTCAAGGCATTGTATTCAAATTAAATAATTATGGCTGTACATGCTTTCAAACGCCCACAGCATGCTTCCAGATTAAGAACCACTTGTCAGCTGCGTCAGACGGCGCATTAGCTGCCGGTCCAGACGACATTAGGTGTTTCCTGCAACTGATCTCCACTTTTTCTGTAGGTAGAGGCCTTCCATGCAACTTGACCCCCGTTCCCCTCCCCACGCTGCTTCCAATTGCCGAGCACATAGTCCACATTCCAGACGAGTCATGGAGGGGTGCTCCAACCCAGCTTTGACAGATCAGCAGTTAGTGATGATAGTGGTGGTAGCCTGGGATTCGCTTGCTCGCCTTTCATGTGACCCGGCGGCTTGACGTTTGTCAACTGACCCCTGAAACCGCGTCTTTCATTGTGCTGGCCTTTTAATGGCCTCAGATTAGGGAGCAGACAGCCGGCAACTCAGGGGAGCCAATAGCGCAGCCTAATCTTTTTTATTTTGTATGACCAGCTGGATTTGTTGAAAGTGTGAAAAGAGTTTACCTGATGCCTCTGGGGTCGTAGACTTGGTCAGAATCGCACATGATGTTTTCAGCGCCTTGAGTGACATGTAGGATTCAGATTTAAAGTGGGGTTAAAGAATAAGCAGCCAAGGTCAAGGCAAATGTTTTCGTATGTTTCATTTAAATTGCATCAATATAGAAAAACAGAACTCCGGAAGGCTGAGAAGGACTTTTTTCTTTCAGCAGTAAGTGTACTTCGTCTGACAGCTAAATTGCACCTCTTCATTGACTTCTGCAATTATCAGCTTTTATTACAAATAGTATTCTGAAGTTTCTCTTTTTGTACCAGGAGTTTGGAAGGCATCATTTGCTAGGCCTGCTTATGATATGACAGCACTCTGAAGGGGTATGGATATGTAAAGTGAGGTCTTGCTGACCATTTTGAAATCACAGATGTTGGGATTTTTTGGGCTAGTCTCTTCCTTCTTTTTTTCACATTCTTGTATTCAAGTGCAATGCAAATGCAATCATACACACTAAATCCATCAATCAACACTTTATTAATGCAGATGATGTAACTGATCACTTTTTTGAATTTCACAATAATGAGGCAAACGGTGTTAACTTTACATAAAGCATTATTGGTTTTAGTGTGTTGTTTTAGGACTTAATATTCCAGCGAGGCTAATGAGAGGTGGGGGAAAAAAGTGAACCTCATAAAAGTTGCTAAGAAAAGAGCCAGTTCATAACCAACCACAAAATCAAGAGAGATAAATTAGAAATGATGTTTTGCATAAAGAACATAAATCCCATCTTTTGATGTCAGTGTGATATGATTACCTTGATGATAAATATTAAATAATGTTAAGTAAAATTGTAAATAATTCATCAAGTCAGTACTGGTTTTTGAATTTAATTTATGCTGGTTTATTTATTCTTAAATTAAAATTGTGTTCAAATTACTGTAATTTTTTATTTTCTTTATAGAAAATGTATTTTTTTATAATGAAAACAATCTAAAAATGATTCATTTACATGTTAAGGCTTGTTTTTTGATAATTTTTCAAAATAATAATCTTTTTCTTGTAGAACTGAAATATTTTATTTAGTTTTTCACTTGTTTATTGTTTATAAACCACTGCAAAATAAAATAATTAAATTAAATTAAATTAAGTTAAGTTAAGTTAAGTTAAGTTAAGTTAAGTTGTTAAGTTAAGTTAAGTTAAGTTAAGTTAAATTAAATTAAATTAAATTAAACCTCTATAACCCAGATGTTCCTTTTGTGAGATTCACCCTCCTAACAAAGCAATTTGAATAACTTTCCCATTCGTTTCATTCAATGCTAGTGTGATCAAAATGGCTTAAGTGACACTTTTGTTTAGCTTCTCCACATCTCCGGCTGACGCTGTTCCTTTGGCACCGGTAGCTTAGATGAAATCACTCGTAAGGAAGAACGCTGAGATATGTCTTTTGTCACTTCAACAACATTCTGTCCTACAAAAAAGGGGAGAAAGAAAGAAAAAAAAACGTACAATAGAGGTGTTGCTAGGTTGCAAATTCTCTCCGAAAAGCAACCTTCTTTTGTTTTTTCGCTTCTTTGGAGAATGTCTTTGAGATCTTCCACTGTGCGGATGGCCATGCACTTTCTTTGGGGAAGGGTGGGGAAGTGAAAGGGGAGGGTTCCGGGGTTGTTAGTAGCCGGGGATGAGGGTCCGTGAGCTGTCAGTGTGCCCATTTGGCCTGAGGGTGAGGAAGGCCTCCTGCAGGCACAACTCTATGGAGGAATGCACCTCCTGAGGAGAAGCTGTCTAAGCGCTGAGCTCGCGGCTCACGGATGGAATGTCAGGTCAAACGCATCACACTCTGGACTCCTCCTCTCCTCTAACAAGTCTTCTCCTATCTCCTGCATTCATGTTTCCCCACACAGTTCATTTCATCTCACTGTTTTGGTCTAGCAATGAAGTATGCAGCACCAGTCTGTTAATGTGTGGTTTGCAGTTACTCATTTTTTGATCAGCATTCTTGTTTATTTCCTAACAGAAGAGTAAAACTCCATTGGATTGATAATTGATTCTGCATTGCTGAGTAATGAATAGAACAAGATGTTTCCCCAAAGTAACAGCAGGGTGAATTTTCAAAAAAAGCTAAATAAAAGGATAGTGTTTTCACAGCAGGCTATTTCAATAATTACATTCTGCAGTAAAATAAAATAAAATGAAATGAAATTAATTACATTTATTAGACTTAAAAATGTGGAGGGGTCAGTTGAGAGGTTATTGAAGGAGGGATTATTAGGTTATATTTGTTTCTACACTTCAGAAAATGATATTCTTTATAGTATTTTTTAACAATTAAAAGAAAATCTAAAAATTATTTATTTACATGTTAAGGCTTGTTTTTTTATATAATTTCTAGAATCATCTAGAATGCAAGTGTATTTTTTTTCTCGTGGAACTGACAGATGTTCTTTTGTTTTTCACTTGTTTGTTTATAAACCCCTGTAAAATAAAATAAAATAAAATTAATAAATAAAATAATTAGAATTAAAGTAAAAATGTGGAGAGGTCAATTGAGAGGTTATTGAAGGAGGGATTATTTGGTTATATTTGTTTCTACACTTCAGAAAATGATATTCTTTATAGTAAAATATTTTTTTATAATTAAAAAAATCTACAAATAATTTATTCACATGTTAAGGCTTGTTTTTTGATCATTTCTAGAATCATTTTGAATATTTTTTTCCCACTTGTTTATTTGTACAAGCAGTAAAGTGATTGTTGTGGTTGACTGAGGGTAAAGTGATTATTTCATACTTACTTCCAAATTCTGTGCTTTATATTTTTGGTGCCATCCAGTATACTTGCTTGTCCATAAGTGCAAAATCTCTGTGTTTTATCTAAATACTTTACAGCTTTGAAGATTTTTTTTAAACCTCTCCAGCCTTGGAGGAGGAAGAATGTTTATGTTTAGATGGAGAACACAAACTGCTGACTTTTTGACCCAAGATTTACAGATATTCTATTAGGGGCTGTAAATTATTGCATACACGAACATGTTCCAGACCTTCAATTACACCTCTAAACACACACGTTTGTGAATTGTGGGGACTTTCCATAGACTTCTATTACTTTTATACGGACCAAACGATATTTTCTATCCCCTAACCCTAAACCTACCTCTTACAGAAAACCTGTCTGCATTGTTACACTTTCAGATAAACATCATTTACTATTTTTAAGATTTTTTTTCCCCTCGTGGGGACTACAGGACGATCGTTGTGGGGACATTTGGTCCTTACAATGTAGCATAAACAAGTATACACACACACACTAACCCTAAAAGAAAACATTTAGCATTTTTAAAGTAATAAATAAATATTTTAATAGTAATAAAATTAAAATAAATAAAATAAATAAAATAAATAAAATAAATAAAATAAATAAAATAAATAAAATAAATAAATAAAATAATATAAAAGTTGTGGTGACAAAATCTGGTTGCAAGGGTGTTCTTGGTGATTGTTAGGTTGTTGAAACATAGGTTGCCAGGGTATTCAGGGTGGTTGCTGATTGGTCTTAAATTCCCGAAACTCAAGTTTTAGTCTGTGTATTTGGCTGTATATGACTTTTTTTATTCGTCTGTTTTATTGTCCACCAAGTTGATTGTTTAAAGTAACAGTACATAATTTGTGGTATTACTTATGTCAATTTACACAAAAAGCTTCCGTATATATCAGGTCTTAAGAACATTGCAAGTTCCCACAAGTGCACAGATACTTTGGCAAAATCTCCATCAAAAATCTCAAAGCCTATTTCATCACAATCACGTAAGGAAAGAGCGTGTGTAAGCTGGCAGTTTAGCGCAATCAGAACTCAAAGGGGAGCCCAGAGGTGAGCTTTTGAAGTGGTTTTGTTTCTTGCGGGCTCTAGTTTGTCAGGTCCCCGGGGGCCGATGGAGATGAGGATGGAGAAGGCGGCGCTCGGCAGCCAACGGAGCTTAAATCACTCTCCATTTCACACACAGGAACACATGGGAAGGAGTAATATTATGCGTAACCCTGGCAACCGGTCCAAGTCATCAGTTTCAATTCTGGCAGCGGTAGGCACGGTCCAGTGGCGCTGTAAGAAAGGACCCTAATCTGGAAGGAGGGCATGGGCGGTTATTACATTTCCTTTCCCACTTGATGCTTGGAATGGGGAGGTTCAAGGGGTTACGCGGCCACGGAAGCAGGGGATATCGTAAAAAAAAAGCCTCCTGGGGCTTGTATTTTGGGCCGCTGATGGATTTCCGAAAGGTGTTGTTGCTGACAAAGTACTTACATTTCCACCCTTCTGCTTTCTTCACAGTTCCTCCGAAGGAACCGCAGGTGACGTGTCGATCAAACACCTATCCCAAAGGCTTCTACTGCAGTTGGCACCTTCAGCATCCCACCTACATCCCTACGGACTTCGAAGTCGATGTCCAGTAAGTTTACTTGTCTGCTTTTCTCTTCATTTGCAACTTCATCTGTCAAGTCTCGCTTCCCGCTCTTCCTTCTATTCTCCTCTCGCTCCGTCTGTCATGTCATGCCCTCTCGTGTTCGGCGGAGGCTTTGAGACACACTGAGCTCATCTGAATCAGTGATCTGTGCGGTCAGACGCTGTCTGCTGAGAGCTGATTAGGCCTGTCTGACTCTGAGTGCTGGAACTCAAGGCAGTATAAGTGGACTCTCCGTCGAAAGCCCCTGCGGAGCAACCCTGCACACACTAGAGCTCCATCTCTCCTTCTCTCTATCCCTCATCTGTTCACATCTGTCTGGACAACCGTAGAGTGGCTTTATCCTCATCAGTCACCAAATGGAAGCGCACTAGTACTTACAAACACTAACACGATCACACTGAATGCTGCATGTTAAATAGCTAAAGACGTTACTTCAATAAATAAATGGAAATTTGGAGCACATGAAATGGGATATTGTAATATATGAACTAATATAATATACATATACATATAACTAATCATATTAGTAGGATTTCTGAAGGATCATGTGACACTGAAGACTGGAGTAATGATACTGAAAATGTAATTGCATTTTTAAAAGCATTTTGATGTTAGTGTTTTTACTGTATTTTTGATCAAATTAATGCAACATAAGAGATTGAAGTGACAAATGTCTTAAAGATACCAAACTTGCGATTGAACGGTAAGATACTTGAATACATGTTCAGCACAATATATATTCAATCAAAATGGTTAATTGTCCTCGTATTTTATAACAGTAAGACTTTATAATCACGTGTAGAAGAATATGCATTTTTTTTAGCTAAAAAATTAATCACTCACAGCACACAATATTAGCAGGCAATGTCACAGCATGCATTTGTAAATTAGTTTTTAATGGATAATTTGTTAGTTTTTAATAGAAATTACAAATAACCATTGCCCCAAAGGAACTAATTAGTTGACTACTATTATATATATATATACATTTGACTTTAATAAAATAGCATTGACTTCGACTGACCTCTATTCTTAACAACTTTAGAAGAATTAATAATCCATTAAGTTTTGTACATTGTGCAGTTTAGGTCATTACACATAATTATACAAGAGCACAATGTCAGGACTAGACATTATCTACATGACAAGTGATTTATGTATGAAAATGTGCCGCAAGGTGCTTGAAATATAACCCCAATAAAGCTTCATCAAAACCTAATAAATGATTTTGCAGTGCGCGCGCAGAGCTGATATCAGGAGGTTTAAAGGTCAGCTACAAGGCCTCGGCCCAGATGTACCCTAGAGGCGAGTAAATGGCAGCCCCTAATTTAGCATATCTGCTGTTCTCATGCCACTGGCACCACTGCAGAACATCAGAATAGATTAGTAATGTTTGCCTCTTCCAGAAATTAAGTACATGTATTCCATACAACAATAACCAGTGCTGGGTAGATTACTTACTAATTGTAATGACTAAATGTGATCCGTTACTTATTACACATTACATGACAAACATTGTAGTTAGTAATGTAATCCATTACATTTAACATTTTGGGTAATATGATTAGACTACTTTTAGATTACTTTTGACTTAAATCATTTATCACATTGATTTAAATTGGATAATCTTGTACCATATTGATATAAAAATACAAAGAGAAAGAAAACATGGTAACACTTTAGTATAGGGATCAATTCTCACTATTAACTAGTTGCTTATTAGCATGCCTATTATTAACATATTGTCTGTTTATTAGTACGTATAAAGCACATATTCTGCATGACCATATCCTACATCCCTAATCTTATCCAATACCTAAACTTAACAACTACCTTACTAACTATTAATAAGCAGCAAATTAGGTCAATTTTGGTAAAAAAAACACTTAAAATAAAGTGTGACCGAAAACATATTCCATTCTTTGTTATTAACATCATGAAGTGCATTAAACAGTATGTCAAAGTTTCCCAAACTGGGGTTTGTAAAGGAACTCCAGGAGGTTTGTGAGTTTAATGAAAAGCTAATAATCAATTAAATCATGAAAATGTCAAATTAAAATAAGCCGTTTTAAACTAGCATTGGTCAAAATAAAACATTTACTAAAAAAATTTCATTTGTTTACCTGCATGTGCATATGACCATTAACCAAAACTCGAAAACGCAAAGACTTTCTGAATATACATAAGTGGTAGCTATTTTAGAAAGGAACATTTAAAACATGAAAAAATAAGAATCAATTCTGCATAATGTATTGCTATTGTGTGAATATGTAGTCATGTAATCAATTGTGGTCTGATTACGAGTATGTTAAAATGTAATATAATCTAATTACAAGCACTTATTTTTTGGAATCTGATTACTAAATCCAAATTACATGTAATCAGTTACTACCCAGCTCTGACAATAACTTAGTGTCACCGTATACGGACTTCATCCAATAATTTAAAATCTGTGGTCTTTTACTTTTTCATGGCATTGAAAATAGAGAATTAATTTTTAGATTAAATATTCTGTTAAAAAATAACTAATGTCATGATGCTTCAGAAGATAAAGTTTTAGATCTTTTTTCTTCATTTTTCTTCAGACACAACCAGAGGCCCTTAGAGGTGACGAGGGATGAAGTTCATAAGAACAGATGCCATGTGAAGTTTCCAGAACTTTTCTCCAGCTTTCCTTACCGGGTTAACGTCACGGCAGTGAACTCGCTGGGTCGAGCTTCCAGCGCCATCAGCTTCGAGGAGTCTTCAATAGGTACAGTGTTTATACTACACACACAAAATAACATTAGAAAGTGCTTTCACTCATAAATTGCTATTAAATTATACAAATAATTACAAAAAAAACTAGTGCTGTCAAACGATTAATCGCGATTAATCGCATCCAAAATAAAAGTTTTTGTTTACATAATATGTGTATGTGTACTTATTTTGTATATATAAATACAATCACATGCATGTATGTATTTAAGAAAAATGTGTTATGTTTATATATTAAATATATGTATATATAATATAAAATATAAGAATATAAATATATAAATGTATATACATGTAAATATTTTCAATATATATACTGTATGTGTGTGTATTTATATACACATAATAGATATGCACAGTACACACACATACTGTATATTATGTAAACAAAAACTTTTATTTTGGATGCGATTAATCGCGATTAATCATTTGAAATTCAAGTAATTTTGAAATTTTGAAGTAGCAAAACTGAGTAGTATTTTCTTGTGAAACATACTGCAATAATTGATATATATGGCTTCATTGCAGACACAGAAAATATAATTTACAAGTCATTTTGATGTGAACACATTGAATTTCTTGAAAATAAGCCTCGTTCCCAGAGTCATTCTGAAAGTCCTATTCATTATTAACCTTGTATGATATACTGGGGTTGAGCAAATAGACCTTGCAAAAACATCTAGTTCAAATTTGCCAGACACTCTTGTAACTTATAATCATCTCCTTTTTTTTGAAAGAACAAAACCCATGCTGGCAAACAGAAGTGAAGAAAATATCTCCAATATATTGTCTGGTTGATGGTGCTGGTGTTGTTGAAGTGGCTTCTGGCAACTAAATAGAATGCTTACATGCATGGCTACATGTGTGCTTGATAGTAATAAAAATGCTAATGCAGTCTGGATCACTGGATTGACAACAAAAATATGTTCCCTCTGGTTCTAGTGTATATTTTACAGAAAATGGATTCCTTTTAAAATGCATTTTCATATGTAACAGCTATTTGATTTCATTTGAAAAAAAAGCAACTTATGATTAGCATATATTTTAGTGACAAGTAGGGAACATATCGATGAAAGTACATCAAAGAAGTAAATTGCCTTATAATGGATCTAAAGCATGCAGACTATTACATTTTGACCACAACTTCAAGATACATGGGAACTAAATATAATAAATTAAAATAATATATATTTTTTTCAGCTACACTGCAAAAATAATTTTCTTTAACAGATTTTTTTTTATTATTATTATTAAATATTAGTGCTGTCAAATGATTAATCGTGATTTCAAAATAAAAGTTTTGGTTTACACGATATACAATATGTATGTGTACTGTGTATATTTATTATGTATATATAAACGCACACACACATGCATATATATATTTCAGAAACATTTTATTTTTATATACTAAATATATTTATTTATAATATAAATTATATGAATTTAAATATAGACATGTAAATATTTTCAAAATATATACTCCATGTGTGTGTATTTATATATACATAATAAATATAAACAGAACACACACATATATTATGCAAACAAAAACTTTTATATTGGATGCGATTAATCACAATTAATCGTTTGACAGCACTAATAAATATATTGAAATGCATGACATTTATTTTTCTTACCTCTTTTTTCCCCTTGGTTTAAGCAGAAATCTAACCAAATTTAGAGAGGTTTATGCTTAAAACAAGGTCAAAACTATTTTCCAATGTGGTATAAAAATAGTTTGCTTTTAAAGTGAGCAATGTATCTTGTCTACAGAATGTTTAGATATTTATTTGAGAAACAAAGCCAAAATACTGACTAGAATTGATTTATTATTATTTTTTTTTTTGAAGTGCAGCCCTTCCTCTCAGCATGCCCAGACATAAAAATTATCATCCGAATAGCCGACATTTAAACAACATCAACAGTGTTTGAAAGTCGTAAAGAGTGTTTCGCTCAAGCCAGGTCAAGGCCTGAGCTATAAATCCTGAAGCCACTATGTGTCTGCTATGAATAGTAAAGGGAACGGGGCTCAGAAACATCTCTTTGTCCTCGTGTGTATGTGTTTGTGTGCGAGTGAAGCTAAAACCGCAGAGCAAACAGAATGATTCTTGGACACCGCAGCTCGAGAAGAAGAGAAAGGCCACTCTGTTGCTCTCTGCTTATTTCCCATAAACCTTAGCTCCAAAAGGCTTTCCTAATATTCAGGAGACGCGGCTGCTCAAAAGACATTGCGAGAAATGTCACAGTGTGGCTTCTTTAGGAGACGTGTGTGTTATGTCAAACTGATTTTCTGCTCAGAGGGACGAGCTGCGGATCATAAAGAGGAGATCTCAGCACTATTCATCATTCATCTCTTTTTCCATTATAGTATTTCGCTAGTGGCATTTGTCATGAGTGATTCTTACTACGTAGCCACTAAAACTGTGTTCTTTTTGTACTGAGCCTTGTCACAACTCGTATACCATTAGCATCTCAACTATAGAGGTATGTTCACACTTCCTAGCTATGCTAAAGCAATAGTTTACCCAAAAATATCTCATGACTATTATGACATTACTAAAACTGTATGGCTTACTTTTTTTTTCTGAGAAAATCTAAATGAGAAATTTAGAAGAATGTTCAAGCTGCTCTATTCCATATAGTGAAAGCAAGTTTCAAATGAAAGCAAGCTTCAAGCTTTAAAAACACAAAGTACCTTAAAGATGACCCAAAAGTCTTTCCAATCCCAAAAACCATTGTTTTTCCATGCACTTGTCAAATCCTAACTTTTCAGATTTTGGACTATTTTACTTCAATAACATGTCTTCTTGCAGATTCATTGAAACAAAACATCCAAAATACACATTTAAATATGCATTTTATGATACTTTATCTATTTGCATCTGTAGATTTCAATTGCAATACATATTTTCTTAATTTTTTCTTAGCAAGAATTAGCAAGAAATCTCTACTTCAGTAGCACTTACATTCACAACAATTTACAGTTTTAGTTTCACTC